ATCGTCAGGTACCAAGCAGACAGAGATGTCCACGGGCTTCTGCTCCACCAAGGCTGCTAGGCCTGAATAAGAAAGGCACAAGGCAGGAAGGGGGGGAAATAAAACACAGAAATTAAGGCAGAATCAGGAGAGAAAGTGTAACTGCGAGAACAAGGAAGCTGTAATTTAAGTTGGGGGAGGGCAGGGCTCTACCTAACATCACTCAGCAAATTAATGGGAGAGTAAAGAAGACAACAGTTTTCCTGACTGTCCTACAGGCAGCACTGGACTCCAGTCACCCCACTGACATGTTCATTATCACTGTTTGTTCAACAGCTTTTGAGCCTTGTGGACTGAATTTTACTGGCCCTTTAAGTACTCTATTTTTTTAAAAAAATAAAAAATAATATGAGAAGATTGAGAGGAATTCCTCCTTCACTAGCACAAGTAAGACTGAAATGTGCCAACTACTCTGTGAGCATAAAGCAGTTGGTGAGGAACTGGCACATAGTAAAAAAGTGTCCAGCCACCCACTGCTGAAAGGTCTCCAAAAACACCTTACATCTGGGACATAAATTAGGGCTGTGGACTTCAGACATGCCTTTCCCTGGGTCTTTTGCAGTCTAGAGTTGAGAATTAGTATGTTTGCCTATAAGCATGAGGAGACCAAGATTAGAAGCCCAGAGAAGAGACCAATGACTGTCACTGTCCCGAGGTTCAAGATGTGCTTTCAGAACTCACTCGCAAGATGACTCCCAGGCACCCCACGACATCTCCTTTGGCGCTAGTTCAATTAGAACTCCTGATCTGCCTATGTTTTTGACATTTTAAACATGCCTGAAAGGTATTTGATATGGATAAAGCTCTAGGGAAGGAATTTCGGTGCTAAAAAGGTAAATTATTTTGTAGACTAGAAGTGAACAGGCCTGGGAAAAGCAGAACGACTGTTAAAAACCTCTGAATAAGGAAGACAATAAAAGATAGGTAAATTATGCTGAAGTAAAAAACCAAAACACAGAAGCACACCAAGCCAAAGTTATGAGTATGAATTATGTATTTGGACTGGAAAAGCAGAACAAGACATTTGAGTCTTGAGAACTGTATAAATCAACCTGCTTTCAATTTTTCCTAATTTCCACTTCTTAGATAGTGTATCATCCCTACCTGGATGGTTTGGAGTAAAGTGCGCTTACATATTTATACACGGGTACATTTTTCTCACCAGGAAGAGGCAATAGCGTACACCAGACTGTCTGCAGAGCCATTAATATATATACACACATATGTATTACACATATATACACACACACATTTTGACAGCGAATCCCAAAATAAAGCTTGTACACAACTGGTGTTGTAGCAGGCAAATATTGCCTCTCATTTCCTGGGATTTAGAGGACGCTAGTATTAAACAAAAATTTTATTATTACTACAGCAAAATAATGCTAAGTGATATTAATGATTAAAAGTACAAGGTCAAAAAGTATAAGAGCAATCATATGCTTATCATCTGGCCCGCAAGGCAGAGAACACCTATAAGTTACAGGAAAAATGATAGGCTTTAAAGCTAGCACCCATTATATCATCTAACCTGACTCCAGTTGCACAGAGAAGTAATTTTTCCATTCTGCAGAACTCAACAATTTAAATGTTACTATGGGTATGGACCAACAGGGACAGAACTCTCAGAGAAGCTTGCTAGTTGGTGGAAAGTGTACATCCTTATGTGTATACAATGTAATAAACACGAGATAACTTGAAATAAGTATATTTGCAACTGAAATTGCTAGAAAAAAATACCTTTTTTTAAGGCCTGACTGACATTTCTTACTACAAAAATTTCTACTAATCGAAGTAACTCTTTTAGTGCCTTCTTCAAGAAGTAAGCACTTCAAACTCTGTGACCCTTTTTTCCAAGTTATAAAACATGCATTTGTGCAAGGTAAGTTTTCATGACTTGTTATTCTTTATTTTTAAAAACAGGCTTATTAATTCAATTATACTTTGAAAGATTAAGGCTTGTTCCCTAAACCACCTCATGGCAGAACAGTAAGATCCAAGAGTGGACAGGAAAATAATTGATTGTATATGGCCCACATATAGACATCACACTAATCCTAAACCAATGTTTCAGTTTTAAGTAAGCTTGTAATTTCCTTTTACTTCAAGTTATTAACATACTCCATTATTGTACAAAACGTCTTCCATCATTTTTGTGTAAGTGGAATTTAGACTCTTTCATTCCTATATGGCAGGAAAGAAAAAGAATTTATGAGCAGATCACTTTTTATTGAAAATAAATGTTTAGCATCTAAGCCATCACAGCATTATGGTAATCACGTTCAGTTCATGCATTACGAAACTATTTCATGTGTAAAGAAGTACTTTTTGTGACATGCACTTTTAACAGCAGACTTTATCTTAACGTTTTCATCATTTCCATTACTTCATTGATTTCCGTAGTTTATCTTCATATCAAATTTAAACACTTTTCCATGTTAAAAAAAAAACATAAACCTTTATTCAGATAATTTTATAGGACCATTACCTGAAGAAGTTATTACTATACAAGAGAAACTTTGAAGGACCGTCTCCACTGCATTTTGCTATATATTCCAAAGAGTTTTTTCCTTAAAATTACTTTAAACCAACATGTGGAATTTTTGGTGTGATTTTTTTCATGAATTCTATGTTCTGTCAGGTTTTTATTTTTCTTTGCTGTTCCTTTTTCACTTGTTTCATATACAGATATAAATTGTCAAAAAGAGGGACTTGGACATGGCTTGTGGGTTTTTTTTTTTAAGATAACTTGTAGAACTAGAATAAAATTAATTTGTTACAGATATAACATTATTAAATAATTTCTGGAAAAAAAAGTCATAACCATCAGTTAACAGATGTTAACTCCCCTTTAAACTTAGCTCTTGTAACGTTTTATCACATTGCATACTAGTAGCATCACTAAAACAATACAGGTGAAGTCCTGTATAGGTTACTGGAGAAAGCGAATAGAGACAATAATGGGTATACTACGCCAACTTAAAGCAATGAAACTTTCAATCCCAGTTCAACTGGAACACGCTGGGTTATAAACAAGTGGCATGTATCCGGTTGTGTCATGTTGTGTAAAGAACAGACAATGTAGGAGGAACTACCTCAGTGGCATCAAATAGGGTGCCAAATACCAACAAAATCACAAGTCAGCTATGTGTCTCAAATGTGTTTTCTCACAAATGTCCAAAGGATTCCAAAAAAAGGTTAACAAATCTACTTATATACACAATAAGAACACGTAGAATGAAGAGTAAAAACTTACTGTGATCCAGTGAAGTGTTCCAAAATGAGGTTCAAACCAACCAAGACCAAAAGACAACTGAGTATTAAAACCTAGGAATATGGGTTTGCTCCCACTGAAGTTCATGTCAAGTTTCCATTGGTATCAGTGTTCTAGGAATGATCTCTAATACTGCAGTTTAATATCTAATCTCTATTACTGTTATTTTTTGGCACAATTCAACTTGGAATGAAGTAGCGTGATATGAAAAGGGTGTTTTGTTTGCAAACTTGGAATGAAATCTGACTTGGACTGGATTGCACAATAAAGAAGCCAGCAAAAGGGAATTTGACACTCACCATTCTGGCAGAAAAACTTAGTTTATCAAAACTAGAAGATTAAAAGTACTTTGATATTGTTATTTGAAATTAAAATCAAAAGGAAGAAAATGTAAGTGTTAAAACTGTGCAGGATTACTGGGATCTTGGTTAATGAACATTACTTTCTTCAAAGTTGTTTGAAGCTAGCAATAAAGCTAGTACCTAACAATACTGGAGAATTTAAAAAAGGCCCACAGGCTAGGAAACACAAAAGCTATTAATCCTTTATACTAGCATGTTAAATCTCAAACTATCTGTGACAAATCCTGTAATTCTTCTTCTTTCTGAGCTATTACTGAATTAATTGGGAGTTCTCAATCCCTATTCAGCACAGGACTTAAACATGTTCTCAACGTTATACACATGAGAAAACACAAATCCTTATCTAAATTTGACTTTGGTGCAAGTTAAGCACAAGTTTATGGCAGAGCAAGCACTCTGGTGTTTTGTTGAGCTAGGAACTTGACTTCTACAGATGGGAAGGAGCCCCTCTGACTGCTTTTGTTCTCACAAGTGCTAAATGCTCAGTTTTATCAGGTCACAGTTGTATGTCTTTAGCAAAATAGGGCTAACGGTTATTTGAGAGAAAGAGCTATCATCCTGTCAAGTCACTACTAAAGGATAGTACATGTGGAGAGGAAAATGGAAAGAAGCACAGCATGAATCAGATTCTTAACCTACTACTACAGAATAATGCGATTTGTGTATTCACATTATTACCATAAGCATATATACAGAAGATTAAAGGGATCAAAATTAAGTTTGGATAGTACATTTGTGCTAAATTCAGTCAGATATTAATGCTAGCAAATATTTATACCAACGATTAACTTTGTGCTGTGGGACTTAATACACTACATATGAAATCTGAAATTACAGCACTTGGTTTGGAAATATCTGTTAATCAAATGAAGTACTATGGACACTAATGTTTTGCTCACCCTACTTTAGCAATATGTCTTAGTCATGACTTGGCAATTCAATGATCATGAAGTCTTTGATCTGTTTCCTGACCTGTCAAATAGTATCAGTCAGAACAAAGTGGGAGAAATGCTGTTTTAATGCAGTGGATGTCCATTCAAACAGAACTGAGAGGAAGTCATCATCTCCATTTGTGAAGACTTTTGGTTGCCACTGATCAAAGACCGTGCAAATTCCTCGACCGAAAGTCAGAACAATCTACCAAATGCTAATAATTCCTCGAGTCAGTTAACCCCCTGTAGTTTATTCCCTGACAGCATCATAAAAATGAGCCAGTGCTGGTTAATAAGAAAATATTTTCCCCGGTTAATCAGTGATACCATGTCCGAAGTGGAAGGTAGCAGATACTAGAAACGCACTACAAACAAAACAAATAATACTTTTACCCTAATAAAGAGGATCTTCTCTCCAACTCTGTATCTTCCTTGTGAAAGACGCTCCACACAGAACTTATTAGGGCATTTACAAGGTGGATCTTCAGAAATGTGTTTAACCTGAAAAACATGGAAATTATTAATAGAAACTATTTAAAATAATATGTGCAGCAAAACATTCAAGAAGACATTTGCCATAACACATCATCACTAATCTAAGTCTTCACTGATGAGATTTTCTTGGTTTTTCTGAATACTTCTCCCAAACTATGGTGCTTCCAATGTCAAGAACGATTTTACAGCTGTGATGAGGTAAAAATAGGGACGAGTGTCACACAGTTCAACATAAAATTTGCACTGTTTAACTGAAGTCAAACAGCTTGTTAATTTGACTTCACCATTAGAACCTTTGTAGATGCGTTTCAGTATTTTATGGTGAATCAGCCCGACTGTCAAAGTGCTAATATAGCTGACAGGCAAAATGAAGATGTCATAATGATATTCTCCCTTCTAAAAACAATAAATACAGAAGCATCTTGCTTATCAATAAAAGGCCCTGCCCAATACCTTCACTTGGCACTTTCAAATAGTGCACTTGCACCTTAAAAAAAGTGCACAGAGAATACTGTGACAATCACAAATCCATGCCAAGAAGGTCTCCAGTATTGCTAACTACCCTTTGATGATCTCCACCTAAGGGCAATCAAGGGTGATTTAAAGAGGCCTCTAGAGTAATCCACTTTATCATTGCCAACAATACAGGCTGAGGAAATACAGATGAAAACTGCTTTTGTGCTTTTTATTGGCTGCATTAGCTTGACTTCAGCCTCTTGTGAAAGCTTGGCCTTGCATGTGCTACCAAAGGCATTAATGCTTAGCAAAAGTATATTTTGTACTCTTCAGTGATCTGAAAGTAGCAGGGCCATCAATGCCAAAGGAGCAGATCTGGTTGAGAAACTCTTATTTGATATTTAAATTGCACTACTGCATAGGAACAGCAATAGCAAGTGCAGCATTTTCAAACACTGCAGTTTTCTTTGATGAAAGCTGATGTAGTATGTCAGTGTCAAACAATGCAAAACGCCGGAGGAACTTCCTACAGGTTTTGTCCACTTCAAATAATATTCCACAGACCTTTTTAAATCCAGTTCATAAACCAAGGCCTGTCAAAACAGTCTGAGGTCTGAGAAAGAATATTCTCAGAAGAGCTAACAAACCAAAGTCTTAAACTGCTTCAGGGGAGAAAAAAAAAAATCAGGGCAAAGCTATGGCACTCTGGTAGGTGTTTTGGTTGTCTTCAATACACGAACAGGAAAGGCTTCTGAAGTACAACAAATGTTTTTGAGATCTACTTTTAGAATAAAGCTACAGTATGTTAAATAAACCGGAAGGAAATTAAAAGTTTAGCAATTATTGTTTCTATACTAGCATAGGGAGCAAAAATACTTCTGAAACTCACCCTGTTGGCCAATTTAAAGGCTTTCCAATTATTTCTGAAATTATTCAATGTTGTTATCTAAATGATTTCTTTACTTTGTGGAATAATTTTCTATTTTTATTCTTAGATTTTTTTTAAATTAAGGAATTATGTTTTACTTAAAAATTTCATTTTAAAATAACGCTTATCAGAGGAACTCTACATGTATTTTAAATTCGAAAACTGTTTCTCAAGTATCAGATGAGTTGTCCTCAGTTTGAATGTACAATCACTGAATTATTTCAAGATTAATTATTCCAGTGATTTTTATGAACGAATGGCTGTTAGCCTCCATTTCTGGAGAATCAAACTATTTAGATAGTCAGTCTACATTAGGAATAACTTATATGAAGTCAGTAGTTGATGATGTACATCCGGTTGCTGAGGATGAAAAAGGTCCATCCCTGCCTCTCTTGGAACGTGGCACCAAGGCACGGCATGTGCTTAGAGGACTATTTGGCAATGGCCCTCCGAATGCTGCCCAAAAATCAGCGATTTCTGACACAGTATCCTATGGGAGTTATCACCTCTGGAGACACCCCTGAAATTCAAAACTGAAAATGGATAGCATGACCCATGCCCTAATAGCTGCATCGACCAATGTCCCATCTAAGCAAGCAAAAACTGCGAGTAGCCAGATCTAACAAGTTCAAGGTTATTTTGAACTGCGTAAGCAAAACAGAGCCCCTGGAGAATGAAAGGCAACAGATTTATACTGGTGTAAAACAGAGGATAATGAGACCTTCACTGCTGATCCTGCTGTTGAGACTTCCATTACCTTACTATCCCAAAGGATACAGAAGTATTATTGAGTGGAATTTGGAAATCAAATAAGGAAGCAGTGGGAAGAATTATATCCTACTTTATTTTGTGTCTGGACTATATGAGCACTGCTGCTATTTTATGGTGTGAGTGTCTGGGGCAGTGCAGGTCAGGAATTGAACTGGATGAATTCCATTCTGTTTCTATCCCTACTGCTTTCTAAATTAAAGAAGGTGGTTGGAGACAACCTTCATACTCTCTCTTCTGTTCCTAGAAGATACGCAGTCACCACCCTCCTTCTACACATAACTGTTCTTTCTCAATTCTGTTGAAATATACGTGAGCGCTTTTGCAAAGTTAAGTAAGAAATACAAAACGTAAAAAACATTGAATGTAATTGTTTGCATCAAATAGTACAAAGTATTTCAATAAAATGAACGAACATTATATTCCATCTGCTCTTTAACAAAAAAGTGGCACATGGATTTTTCAAGAAATGCTTTGTAACTCCCAGGTGGCACATCTACCTTGTAATAAAGCGGTTACTATAGTAACTGCTTCTTTTTATAGAATATATTTGTACTTTTCAAGTTTAACCTCTTCATGGTCTCAAAATGTGTCCTTTTCATCTGGTTCCAGCTCTTTCAAATGAACACTACAGCATAGCGCAAAGAGTTTAATGAAATTCAAATCAACATATTTTCTTTCCAACAATGAGGAAAAAAATACTTGTTTTCTTACTATGTGAGAAACATCAGAACAGCAGCATAAAAAGTAGGCAGAGATAACTTAGAAGTGCTTGTTAACAATCTGTACAAGTGAGCATGGGCCAAATCTCCTGGTCCTGACTCAGTCCCTTTTCAGTCAAAACACCAAGTGGGAGTTGATGAATAAGAAGTGAAAAGAACAAGAATATGGAGTAATAAAAAGGGAAATTCGCCCTCAGCACAAAGTTAGGCTAAACTGCAGATCTCCCACACAGAGCGACATTTTTTTCCCAAACTTCAGGCATAAATAATTGTGGTCAAAAATAAATTAACTATATCAGTCTGCAAATCTCTAAAATACAGTGAGATGCTAAATTCAGGCTTCTGTGTGCTTTGCAAGTAAGTGCATATGAGAATGCCTCAGATAGGAAGAAGCTTCTCCCACGACTTACAGCATCATCCAACAGTTTCCCTGTGCTCTTCTTCCCAGGAGACTTTGTTGGTGACGGTGAAGGAGATGGAAGCGGGGCTGAAAGTGTTTCCTCTTGTTCAATCTCTTTTTCCAACTTTATTAATCCAGGAGGCTCCACCCCAAACCTTTTGGAAACACGCAAACAAATTATTAGTCCTTATAAAGTGTTACATACTTTACAACAAAATGGTGGAAAGAATTCATACTTTCTGTATTGCATCATTGTGCAATAATAAAATGCTACATACATTAGCAAACACATGTAAAATACATCAATCATTAGTGCAAAAAATTAATTTAGATGGAATCTCTCAGCTGATCAAATTCACAGGAAATACGGGTGTTTTTTGACTTCTCTGTCTGATAACATATATGTTGGTGAATGACGACCTTATGAACAACACTAAGCCTCAAAAATTGCTATACCGTGTAGGACAGATTCAAGTTCAACACTTCATGCTTTTTTTTTTTTTTCCAAACAGACACCTTTCCAGTTACTTGACAGCTTATACTTTGTGTTAGTATTTTTCAAAGAAATCCAGATGAAAGGGGATTGAAGGTTATCTTGGTCTCAACTATTGCGCTGAATTTATATATAAATAAAGACATGGCCAGTATTTTTCAGAAGGGGCTAATGCTTTTTCTAACCAATTTTTGACAGCCAATCTTCCGATTTAGCTGAACACTTGTAGCTACAGCTAAAACAAAATACTTGCAACTTGGGCATGGAGCATCTCAAACACAGCACTTGGAGAGCAAGGCTCTTTAAAACAGTGCCTGCTTTTGAAAGCTCAATGGCAAGTGACGAAGTCAGCATTTCACAGCAAGAAACAGAGCTTGGACAGATGCGAGAAGTCTGAAAGCCCATCCAGTTTTCCTAATCACTGATAATTCCCCTCTTTTTCTTCTTTGCCAACACTGAACAACACCCAGAAAAACAGAAAGATTTCTTTTTTCAGACAAGGACTTCAGCTTGAAAAAGTTATCGTTGCAGGTAGGCTTCTTATGGCAAACTACTTGCATAGATGAAAGCATATTTTCTTCTATAGTAGAAAAGTCCATAGCCCAGATGCAGAACTATGCTAACTTATGTAGGTGAAGATCTGGACACTAAAATATTGAACAGTAACAAATACGTTACAAAAATCTATGCTAAATACCATAACAGTGTCAAAAGTGTACAAAGAGAGGGCATAAGCGCATAAACTCTCTTTTGTGTTTTTCTGATAACTGTTAATTTAGTCACACTACTGCCTAGTAAATTCATATAAAGAAAACCGAGAACCAAACCTCTGCTTGTATTGGCTTTAACTGGTGCAGTCTGCCTAATGAGAAGTCAGCCAACATTGAAGCAAGCACTTATATGCAATCCATTTACTTCCTGTCTGTCTGCAGATGCCGACAGGCTGTAAATCATTAAATTCCCACTGGGCTCTAAGCCTACACCTGCATGTAGCCTTACTCATCAAATAAAACTCTTTCACTACAAGCAATGCTGCTTCTTTACTTCTACTGCTTTTCATAGACTCCAGTTTTTGTCACTGTGACAGACTTTTAAAGTTCCCTGTACTCCCAGTATTCTAAATTCCTCCGGTGATGAGTTGAAAAATAAAACCAACGAACAAACAAACGCATTTTTTTCCACATATTGTATCAACCTGAAGCAAAGTTGCTGGAAAGCTGAAATAGTAAAAACCGCATCTTTTCTGGGAGGGGTAGAGGTGCAAATTCTGTTCTGGAAGGTATGCTGAGAATTTCCTTTTCTGCTCTTTTCTGGCCTGCCTTCTCATAACTACAAATGAAGCAAGCCTGGACTGTAACATGATCTCAAATAGGCTTCTTAGAGCACCACTTCCCATTTTTACCAAGGAAAAATTGAATACAATAGCAGAAAGATCTTGAAGTTGCTCAACAGTAATTTCAAAAGACCTGTGGGTGTTGTTTAACTCCCCCAGAGTTTAAGTTACCTAAGAACTTCATACTTTCTGCAGAAAAGATAATTTAGCTGTTTTCCATTGTATAATCTCTGTCTTTAAAATACTTTGGGAGAACGTCGGACATGTGCGACCCACTGCAATAGCCCTGTGTATTGTCAATGCTCGATTTCATCCTGTAGGACACCACCCTCTCTCATAAATGTTCTCAGCCTACCCACATGGTATCTGCCGGTGCACACAACAGCCAGTTTTCACTATTGAAATTTCACAGGTGACCTCAGAATTTTGTTTCGTAGACAACTGAAATCCAGGAGAATGTATCAGGGTATTCTATTTTTATTAGTACCTGGGCTTTGAACTACCACTCTTTGAGCCAAGTGGTCACACCAGTTTTCCACTCACTCTGTAGCCCCTCCAAACAGTCCATCCCTCTCTAATCTGTCTAAAAGGACACTATGAGAGAATATGCTAAAAGCATGGCTAAAGCATAGGTAAATTAACAGCTGTTTCCCCTCATCCACAGAGTATCTGTTGAATGGGTTCAAGTTTAGTAGCACAGAGCTCAATTCTACCTCCCCCCTCAAGCAATCCCCATTCCGGCCCACTTGTCCCTCAATCCCAAGCCTATTTCCATTAAGAAGAAAGGCCCAGGTTGATTTATCTAGACAAAGTTCTAGACCCTGAAGACTAACAGTAATCTAGCTGGGCAAAGTGTGCCAAGACCTGGCTCCTTGTGACGAATAAGCCACTTTGAACATATCTTTCTGCTTCTAAAACAGAAAAGGAAAAGTGAGAAGTTATTCAGCGTCTCTTACACTTTTCATTCTTTAAAAACATACTGAGACACCTTTTCAAAGATCTCTGCAGCTCCTGCTCTGGAAAGCAGACCCCTAAGACCGTCAACAGCCCCAGTTTGCTTTATAAAGCAAGCACACATCTGACTTCTCTCCTGTTTAAAGCAGCACAATGACAACGTCAGTTTAATGCGCTCTTTCCTACACTTAGTGGCAGCAACTGCCTGTTCTCCTTTTGCATATAGTTCTAGTTTACCACACCTCAGGCAAAACTGACATCACATATTTGCTTTTCAATTCTATCAACCTGATGTTCCCCTTCAACAGTTTTTGTGCACCTTGTAAACTGAAAAGTTTGTAAACGGGTTTTTGTTTGTTTTTGAAGATATTAGAGTAGGAACAAGTAGACAGACATATGTTATTTGACCCCTAAGCTATAAACAAAAATAAAATATATAAATATACATATAAATATAATATATAAAATACATTGGTTACCATTAATGATATATGGTAATATATATGCATTATAAACAAAAAATAAAAATAAAAAAAATTTAAAAGCAAAGTGATAGATATGCATAATAAATGAAAACATGGTTCATTTATTATTTCAGTATTTGTTTTCATGCCTGGAACAGAGAACATCTGAGACATGGAAGCTTAAGACAAATATGAAGGGTAGGATTCTATCTTAATTCCCTTGTAGATCTGTTGAGGAATCAAATCTCACTGCAATCTAACAATCTAATTTAACTCAACCAACTTTAGCAGAATCCAACACTGCCTAACCACTGACCTGCATTCCCTGAGGAAGCTGGATACTACCAAGTGACCAACCTGGGCCAGATATTCCCGACAGCTACGCCCTGGGTATATGGCCTTTGGATGCTGAAAGATCTATCTCCAAGCTGGGGATCTTAAAAGCACTGTTTGCTCAGGTAGATGAAGATTCTTGAAAATCAATTTCATTGAGCACCTAAATTATGTTTGACTGAATCCAACTCTTAGAGATCAGAAAATTCCTGCAGTCTGGAAAACTCTTTTTCTGGCCAATGCTATTCCTAGCAAGCTTCCTCTGACAGCGAGGGCTTTTCTGAAGCTTGACCAAGAGACAAATTTCTAGTTAAGCAGCTTCCCAAATGAGTTGCATTCACATAATATGAATACTATGAAAATACTAGTTCTTAAGCTAGGAATAAACAGGGATCTCCTCCACATCGATTGTAACCACAAGGAATTCTTGTGAAATTAATGAAACTCTTTGAATAGCAAGGCACTCCAATTTCATACACATAGATGAATGCAATTGCAATTTATATGCAAGACTGGGAAGCAGCATTGCTGTTCATATATTTTGTAGTGAATCTTATGCTCTATATTAGTTAATTCTGCATCTGCAAAAAGGGAAGAATCACATTCTAATTACTGTAATTTTGACTGTGTAGTAAAAGTCACTGTTGTCCTGACATCAGAGATAATGCTACAATGTATTGAGGGTCCAGCCTGGCCAGAATCATCCGACAGAGATAGAACACAGACTGTTAACTCAATTCTCATTTGCTTCTGTTGGTGAAAATCAGAGCTAAGTTTATGTAAATAAATAAGAATGTTGCTTAGGTCAGACTTAGGTCATGTGAAAATCAATTTATTATCAGTAAAGTTAATGAAATCTCAGTTATTTATAGAGATCTAAATGTTAGAAGGAGAAACAGCTCAAAGCTTTATTTAGAAAAAAAATTCTCAACCCTTTCCCCTCCTGATGTGAGGATAGCCAACAAATACCTTCATTCAAGTGGTGGTACAGAGATTTCATTATATTTGTTAACAACTGCCCACAAGATATTCTTGAGTGACATCAAGACAAGCATTCTCCTTGAACCTAATGAGCATAAAAGTTAGCCTGAGATGTGCTGATTTAGTAAGTCTCTCAGTAGCCAATGCTGTCAAGAATGTAAACATTTCTCCATTCTTTAAATATTTTCACCTACCTTGCTGCAATCCTTCCAAGTTCCAGCAAACAAAGGCACACTTCTCTTGGCTGCTTGTGGAGAACTGGAAAAGCAAAATGAAGATGGAAACCATTTATAAATACAAGCTATTTTAAAGATCTTAGTGATGAATGGAACTTAGTCATCAACATCTGTAACTCTTGACTCAGATAAAACTTGGTTTTCTTTGGCTTGCAGTGGAGTTTTACTGGAATAAAAAGGATGGGATTGACAAGTGGTTCTCAGAGTGCAGATGATTTAGGAAGTTCCCATTTAGTTATCCTTTAGTTCTTTTGAAAATACCATTCTAAATCTAAATCACCGAGTAATTATTTGGGCTATTTGGCAACCTGCAAGTAGTTCATAACAATTTAAAAATAATCAGGAGCTCTGACTGAACGCTACAATTAGTAGAATGTAAAAAAATATTAATATCATTAAAATGTTTTTCTTCCTACCAAATAAGAGAATTCCTATCCTTTAGATCACTATTTTTCTTTGCCCATTTAAATAACAAAAATAACAAAATGGCACTGGCAGAGATATATCTTACTACAAATTTGGTCCCGAAATTGTTATACATCTACTCTTAAAGCGAATATGAAACTAGAATACTTTAGGAATTCAGCTCATCATAGGAAAAAACCCAACCAAACAAAAAACTTATCTTCTGTGTATATATACACATATATGCAAGGTTTGATGTCTAGATTCCACATAAAACCTGCAGTTTTGAAGCTTCAGAAGCAACTGCAGCACAGAATGAAATTCCCATTAACAAATACTACCATAATTCAACATAATTCTTTTTCTTTTCACAATTCACATAGGTAATGTTCTGTAGAGAAGTCCAGCAACATATATAAGCAAAATCAATAGATGAGGAAAGGCCTGTGGCTGTTCGCATAATCAACTCCCCAAAAGTCCAAAAAGAAGGGAAAAAAGAAGAAAACAGGAATTATGAGTACATTGTCATCTTCTCTCCAGAAATATCTGTTGCAGTAAACCCCTCGTGTTGTGGATAAAATTCAGGTTTTAGAAATTTCCACAATAATTGGAAAATATTTACCTTATACATCAGGTTGAATTGACATTAAAAAAAAGTTGTGAATATTTATATAAATCAGAATAAAAGAAAGAGCAACAAAATTGATTTGCTTTTGAGATATAGTCATGGCATCTGCTGTATGAGCATTTTGGTTATCATCTAAAGACTCACCTAACTCAAATGCATGAAGAAAAAATAGCATAACTGAAAAAAATATTTTAATGTCTAGTTAAAGCTCTGAAAGTCATTACTTTGTCTTATACTATATGTATGAGACCCAGAACAGAAATCCACAGACTTGAAGATCTCTAAATAACTAACGCTCTGGGGCAGATCTTCAGCTTCTGCAACTTCAACTTCCAGCTCCACTGACTTGAACCAATGTATGGTAAGTTGCGCAAGTTGAATGCTCACCCCAATATCTTTTCCTAGTGTATATGTAGTACTTTGAGATGTATGCATTCTTCCCCTCCAATCTCATCCAAATATATTTCCAGAAGTGAAACTACAGCATGAAAACTAAAATGGTACCGCAGTAGGAGAAGTATTTTTATCCTTCATCCATCTGTTCTTAAGAATATAAAAGATGCAGACTTGGACATTCAGCTATTCTCAATATTCCTCATTGCCACTACACAGTAATTTTATGAAACGTTTACCTTCACTAGTCATCCGTATTTCTAAAGTGTTACGTTCATGAATCTAGAAATTAATTCTGCTGCTTTGGTTCTAAATCAGTTGGGATTGCCCCAAAAAACAAACTTGATTTTTAGAAAGATGACATTCCCCAATATATAAATGGAATAAAATGGTTTTGGAATAGTCAAAGGGAGCCCAATATTTCTTACTCGCAATTCACACATATGCACATCTGAATAACTTTTGGAAGGGAGGAGGAAAACAAAGGCTCAAGTAATATTATGTGCAAAAAGATTCATAAACAGAATTGGAAGAGGATTTGATTAAGAAAGGTAAAATGTTTTTCTGTCGATGCTGACAGCTCTTCTACCCAAACAAAATTCCAAGTCCTTAAGCAAATCTGACTCAGCATAACCTAGACACATTTCATGCATTTCACATCACACAACATGACACAGTGAAATCATTGTTAGAGGATGAAGAGCTGGCAGGCAATAACCAGCCAAAAAACCACATCTGGTCATCTGATGAGACGATGGTGACACAGCACTTCTAACAAAAAATGTTAGCATTCCTGAGGACTATACCAGCATATGTATTCAGGAAATTCAGAGACAAACAAACGTTATTTTGTATACTGCAGTTCTCGCTGGAAATAATTTAGATTCTCAACCCAAAATTTTCTTTTTTTTTTCCAAAAGCACAGCTGTTTAATGGACCACCACCTCAGGAGTTACAGCAAAAGCCAGAGACACACAAGACTGCATTTCCACACCTATCTTGGTCCCAAATGTTCAGTATAACCTTGAGAGAGCAAATAAGAGCGTTGCTTTTTGGAACAAGTAGCACTTTAGAGCATCTTGATTTCTGACTACTTCTTTTGAGATGCTTTTGCCTGGTGCTATTCCACAACAGCTGAAAGTACTTGATATTTACAGTCACTTTCAAAAGGCTGTCTCCTAAGCTTTTTCAAAAAAAAAAAATCTACCTTTACACTTTTTTCCATCTAAAGAACAGAAAGAGAAACACTTCTTTTCTTAGCTTTACTTATAGAAGTTGAGATAATCAATATTGTTGAAGCATTTCCAGACATCTGATAGAAGAGATGGCAAAAACTATTTCAGAGGCACTACACAGCATCAAAATAATTCATTTCATTATTTAAAGTAAGTATGCCACTAAAAAAGAAAATCTGTAGAAGTTCTCATAATTCACTTTTAAATTCTCACTGTACTGTACTTTAAATTCACAAATTCTGACTGCACTGCAGTTCATGGCTAGCTACACTACGTACATGTAAACAGTTATATAAACATGTAATTGTGTGTATATATATGGTAATAACTAGTCATCTGAGGACTAGAGGCAATTCATTCTGAAGTGATTAGTTACAAGCTCAGGTTTAAAAAATAACACCTGTACCCATGGTATTCTGTGTCTCCTGTGGGAACTACATCTATGATATTCTGAACTACTTACTATAATTAATAGTTGCATTTCAGTAATAGGCACGACCTCAACTTTTTGACCTGACCAATTACTTAATCCTAGATATTCTACACGGCAAACAGATATTTGCCAAGCAACACATTTTCTGTAATTGTAGCAATTTCTACAGTTAGAAACAGCAAGAACTGGAGGCTTAAAAATTGTTCTTAGAAGCCATCTTCATTCTATCTACAGCCACATACACAAATCACTGCACATCATTTAAAGTCTACACTCGACATAGCCCAATTCATTTCTACAACAATGCTACTATATGCTGTGAAGAATTCGAAGAAAAAGCAAAAATAAAGATTTCTCTAACATTGCTATGAGGTAAGCAGTAGTATTATCCCCATCTTATACATGGAGTTTAGGTATAGGTGTTAGACACAAAAGGCACACTTATCAAGGTGCTAATCATACTTACTGCCTGATCTCCAGACTGTTTTCGAGTTTCCTAATGCTACATTTTGTGTGAAAGCAAAGCCAACACAACTAGTGATCCCATTACAAAATCTGATACAGATCCTCCCGCTGCATGTGGGAGCTATGTGATAGAGCCATAGTCACTTCTTCCGATGCCATTCAGTAGCAACATCAAAATACTATCCTTCAGCATCTTCATCGTTCTCCAGACATCTTCAGATTTTTGTAACAAATGAGGCATGTGAGGAGAAAACAACACACCAGTAAGCTTCCTTCACTTCATGAACCATACCGTACTAAGATGTTGGCAGAGCAAGGTCCATCCTAAATGGAACACAGATCTTTTAGGGGAAAAAATAGCCCATGACCACATGAAAAGTTGATAGGCGATTCATAAGAGTTAAATAGCTTAACTAACGTAGCACAGCCAGCCTTAATTACAGCCCAAGTATTTCACTTTGCAGCATTAATACAATTTTTGTATGCAATTTCCTGTAATTTTTCACACTTTCATATATGGAAGAAAACAATATTCCTGGAGAATCATTGGCCAGTCCTTCCCTATCAAACATTAGCAAGACGGATCATCTGAGTAGGCAACTATAAGCAAGTAGCAATTTGTAAATGTAGAAGACGACACATGCATTACTGCATAATCAATGGAAATATCCACCCTGCCAGAGAATCTCAGTGATGATATTTGCTTGACAAGAGAGCAATGTGAAGATTTAGAAATAATGCATAACAAGGCCAGCCTATTTTAGGTGTCCTGACAGTTGCAGACCCTTTTACTTTCCCTTTCATTCATTCCAAGTCCTTCCTATCCACTGTCCCCATTGCCTGCATCTTTTCAAGCAACTTCCAGCCACTCTCTTTTAACAATACTTCCTTTTCAGCTCCTAGCAAGCTTTTACCCCTGTTCCTCTCTGGCTGCAACTTCTTTTTCTACGCTGCTTCTGTCTCATTGCTGCCCCTTTCTCCTTTAACAGGTCTTCCTCTCCTGATCACTCACCCCTCATCCTCCTTCCTTGTACTTCATTGCTTTCCTAGCTACCGTTCATCACATTTCTACATCCTTCACCACTCCCTTCTGAACTGCCCGGGTGCTACCAGGAGCAGCAGAGGAGGAACAGCCTCTGCATTCAGTGCTGATCAGACCCTGGGGCTATGAGGAGACAGAGCACACCCTGCACATGGAGACCGCCTGCTTGCTGAGCACGTTTAAACCCACAGTGTTCACAATAATAAACACGAGGGGGTTTGTTTTGTTTGAGGTTTGGGTTGGTTTGTGTGGTTTGTTTGGGGGTTTTGTTTGTTTGTTTGTTTTAATTAGCAGAATGTCCAACCACATTAGAGGAACAAACATCTTACACCTCTCTGACAGTTTCAAGCCTTGGCTCCTAGCATTCTTATAAACTGTCATTAGTGGAGTCAGTTTTTCTTCAAAATGTAAACTTTTCTTT